TGGATGAAAGACCTAAACGTAAGACAGGAAGCCATGAAAATCCTCGAGGAGAAAGCAGGCAAAAACCTCTTTGATCTTTGGCCACAGCAACTTCTTACTCAACATGTCTCCAGAGGCAAGAGAAACAAAAGCAAAAATGAACTATTGGGACCTTATCAAAATAAAAAGCTGCTGCACAGCGAAGGAAACAATCAGCAAAACTAAAAGGCAACCAACGGAATGGGAGAAGATATTCACAAACAACATATCAGATAAAGGGTTAGTATCCAAAATCCATAAAGAACTTATCAAACTCAACATCCAAAAAACAAGTAATCCAGTGAAGAAATGGGCTAAAGACATGAATAGACATTTCTCCAAAGAAGACATCCAGATGGCCAACTGACACATGAAAAAATGCTCAACTCAGGAAAACAGTATGGAGGTTCCTCAAAAAATTAAAAATACAACTACCCTATGACCCAGCAACTGCACTACTAGATATTTATCCAAGGGATACAGGTATCTGTTTTGAAGGGACACATGCACCCCAATGTTTATAGCAGCACTATCCACAATAGCCAAAGTATTGGAAAGAGCCCAAATGTCCATCGATGGATGAACGGATAAAGATATGGTATACATATACGTATATATATATATATGTATACGTGTATATATATATATACGTATGTGTATATATATATGGATGGAACTAGAGGGTATTATGCTAAGCAAAATTAGAGAAAGACAAATATCGTATGACTTCACTCATATGAGGACTTTAAGATACAAAACAGATAAGCATAAGGGAAGGGAAGCAAAAATAATATAAAAACAGGGAGGGGGATGAAACATGAGACTCTTAAATATGGAGAACAAACAGAGGGTTGCTGGAGGGGTTGGGGGGTGGGGGGCTAAATGGATAAGGGGCATTAAGGATATCTACTCCCAAAATCATTGTTGCACTATATGCTAACTAACTTGGATATAAATTTTAAAAAATGATAAACATGGTTAAAAACAATTTTTTAAAAAGAGATATTTTCACACTGTTCCAAAGGTAAGTCAATAATATTTATGCCACATCCTAAAAAGAGTTTCCTTTTCTTTTGGGTGCTATAAATGTAAATTTGGAAGTACTTTATGTTTATTTCAAAGAGAAAGCAAGTTTTATAATGCATAAAAGATAAAGTAAGTTACATATTGCATTTGTGGAAATGTAATGATAAATGTGACAAGCACTATTTGCTCAATCTGATTTTATGCAACACAGGTAAAAAAAAAAACAAAACAATGCAAATATTTAGGGAATTTTGACACCCATCCATGAGCTTCAACTAAAAATTATCGTCTTTTCCATTTACAACCACCACAAAGAGTGAATGAACTGCTCAACCTAATTATATCAATCTCTTCCCAGTGATGTTTCTCTGTCACAGAATGATTGTGGTTATTTTAGGTGATGTTTTTAAACGATAATATTTTGTTAAGATATAATTTTCATACAGCATATTTAATCCTTTCTTAGTGTAAAGTTTTGTGAATACTGACAAATGCATACAGTTCTGCAACTATAACAGTCAAAATAAAGGAAAATCCATCAACCCCCCAAAATATTAAAAACTGAGAATGCAACAAGATTTCTAAGATCATAACATTCCTTTGCTCAAAACCCTTCAATATCTTATCTCAGAGTCAAAGTCCTCACTATGGTCTGCAGCCATTTCCTGCTACTCTCATCGCTCCTCTACTCCACCAGGGGTTTCCAGCAGTTCCTCAAACATGCAAACACACTCCCTCCTCGGGGCCTTTGTACTAACTTCGGTTGCCAGGAATGCTCCTCAAAGGTATCCACAATGGCTCCCCTCCTCATCTCCTCCAGGTGCCTGCTTAACTGTCATCTCAGAAAAGGCTTTTTCTGACCAACATACTAAAACAGTACCCCTACTATAAGCCACTGTATTTTTCCCCCTTGTTTATGGTCTGTCTTCCCCCAAACAGAATACAAACTACAAGGAAGAGAGTCCTTTGTTTTATTCCTTGCTGTCCTCAGTCTTGAACAGTTGCAGGATCTCAGTAAGAATCTGCTGAACAAGACGCTGCACAAAGACTTTCCAACTAAAACTTCTGTCACAGATACGGGGATGCGGGGGGGGGGGGGGGGAGGCTAACAGTTCGGAATCCTGAAGGCTCTGCTACGTAGCAACTACTCTTCAGAAGAAAACGTTTTATTCTCAATAAAATATACTCACGAACGGCTGCTTTCCCTAAAGGCGAAGCATTAATGCTACGTGCATTCGTGCTGCAAGCCTGTTGGCACAGACTGCTTTGGTTTAAATCGCACAAGACTTTCACAAAGTAATTTTCCCACGAACCAAGAAATTCTGGCTAAAGATACTTAAGGAAAAATACTAGTGGGGTTAATCTACTCATGATATATACAAGGCGTAGGAAAGACAATATACGAGTCCAAACCTCACACAGAGATAAAAATACCAGAAACAGGAATTGGGAGTGTTTGCCCCTAGAGACACTGAGAGAGAAAAAGTCCGAGGATTGCACCCCCTTTATCTTGGCGCCAGGCATGGTACGAACACTCAGTTCGGGGGTGCAGGGCGTAGTGTCCCCGCAAGGGGTCTGGGAGGGCGAGGCCCGGACTCCGAGTAGAATGGGAGTGGTGGATCCGGGCTATAGATTTTCCGTAGAAAATCTCCTTTCCATGGATTTTTCGTTCAGGAGAAAAGGGAGTGCTGACTGCGTCTACCCGCTCCCAAAATGGCTTGGGGGAGGGTTGATGAGGGCAGACCCCTCTCCTTCCCCAGGGACGGTCCAGGCCCCAGCAGGAGCCCAGTCTCCGGCTCACCCGGCTCCCGGTTGATCTCGATGTCGAAGTGGCACTGCGGCCGGTCCTGCGCCCCCATCGCGACCGAGGCGGCGGCAAGAGCTAGGAGAAAGCGGGAGGAAAGCGGTCAGGGCGGGAGCTAGGGCGGAGGCTGGGGCGGAGCCCGCGCCACGGTCGCCTCGCGCCGGCCTGCCTCGACACCACGGGAGGCTGAGACGGGGTCCCCTCCAGCGCCGGGCCTCCCGACTCCCAAGTACCGCGCACACACATGCGGGCGAGCTCTTCACCTGGTTAGCCTCCAGCCTGAGCAGCTCCCCGTAAGCAGAGGAGAAAGCAATGCCACCGCGGCGGTCGGAGCCCAACGCCACTAACCGACCACCACCCCCTCCCCGGGGCCCGGCCTCCCAGTGCCACGCCAAACCCCGCGAGAGTCGGGACAAATACCGCGAGAGCACTGTCTCCAAGGGGGTGTTTAACTGAAGGGTGCGCGCGCAGGTGGGCGTGTCTGGGGGCTCCAGAGGAGCTTCTGGTCCGAAGCTCCCATACCTGAGCTGGTCCTTTTTTGCCCCGCCCCGGAGTCAGTCGCCCAATCTGGGAGCTGAGATCACGCCTGTACTCTCTACTTCCTCTCGCCCTCCTTCTGGAGCCGTGAGCGTCCGCGCTTTTTCCGGTGTCGCGGTGCTTCCGTGTTGTCTACACCTGTGAGCAAGCTTTGAGAAATTAAGTCGTTGACGTCTAGTCAACCGACCGATCTGTTTGCCTGTTTTCCTTTTCGCAAGGAGTAGTTAAGACGCTCTCCTCCTGTTAGACTGTCTCATTTCAAAAGCCTTTTAGGTTGAGATGTGCGTTCGTTCCCTCTTTGGCTCCAGCGTCCCCGGAGTAGTTTTCTGTTCGTGGCCATTCTACTTCTTTTGTGAAGGGTCAGTTCAAGACCTTTCCCGTTTTTTTATTCCTTTTCGTCTTATTGAATGCGAGAGTTCTGTGTACAAATGTTTTGTTAAACGAGTGAGACGTATATGTTCTAAGTACAAATCTTTTTTTTCATGTGTAATTGCGAATGTTTTCTCCTCAGCTGGGCCTTTTCGTTGTTGAGACGGTGGTTGTGCGAAGCAGTTTTTAATTTTAGTGAAGGCACTTGATCAATTTCTCGTATGGTTTGTGCTCTTTCTGTGCTAAGAAATCTCTGCTTACCCCAAGCTCCTGAAGATTTTCTCCTGTGTTTTCTTCTAGAAGTTTTATAGTCTTAATTTTTGCGTGTAAGAATACGATCTATTGGAATTTTTCATTGTGGTGCCAGGTAGAGGTTGAGGTTCATTTGACATCCCCCCCCCATGAAAACAGAGTAGTCCCACCACCTTTGTTGAAAAAACTGCGTTTTATCAATTGAATTACCTTGGTTTTGCGACCACTTATTCTATTTCTGCAGTTAACTTTGTTACACTGTTCCATGTACCTATCTTTATGCCTGGGCCACACTGTTTTGTTTTTGTTTTATTTTCTTAAAACTGTAAAATACACATTGCCTAAAATTGTCATTTAACTCAAGTGTAAAATTTGGAGACATTAAGTACAGTAACATTGTTGTGCAATCATTACCACCAATGTATCCACAGAACATTTTTCATCTTGGAAAACTGAAACTCTATATCCAACTGTATTCTCCCCTCTACCCAGCCTCAGGCAACCACTTTTTTTTTTTTTTAACTTTATTATGGTAAGAACACTTAACATGACATCTACCCTCTTAACAGACTTTTAAATGTACAATGTGGTATTGTTACCAGTAGATAAAATGTACAGCAAGTTTTTAGAATTTATTCATCTTTCATAGGTCAAATTTTGTAACCCTTGATAGCAACTGCTTTCACCCTGTTCCCATCCCCTGGCAACCACTATTTTATTCTTTGAATAAGTTTGACTCTTTTAGTTACCACATACAGGTGGAATCATGCAATATGTGTCTTTCTGTGATTGACCTGTTTCACTTAGCATAATGTTCTCAAGTTTCAACCCTGTTACCACATATTGCAGGATTTCCTTCTCTTTTTTTTTTTTTTTAAGGCTAAATAATAACTGCATTGTGTGAGTATACCATATTTTCTTTATTCACCAGCAGATGGACACTTGGGTTGCTTCTACCTTTTGGCTATTGTGATAATATGGCTATCGGGAGGAGGGTACAAATATTTCTTTGAGAGCCTATTTTCAATTCCTTTGGGTACATACCCAGAAGTGGGATGGCTAGGTCATAAGCTGATTCTGTTTTTATGAGGAACTGCACTATTTTACACACCCATCAGCAATGCACAAGGTTTCAATTTCTCAGCATCCTCCCCAACACTTGTCATTTTCTGTTGTTGTTTTGTTTTAATAATTGCCATCCTGATGAGTCTGAAGTGGCACACTGTTTTGATTACTGTAGCTTTACAGTAAATTTAAAAATCAGGGTCACGGGGCGCCTGGGTGGTTCCGTCGGTTGAGCGTCTGACTTCAGCTCAGGTCATGATCTCGCGGTTCGTGGGTTCGAGCCCCATATGGAGCTCCGTGCTGACAGCTCAGAGCCTGGAGCCTGCTTTGGATTCTGTGTCTCCCTCTCTCTCTGCCCCTCCCCCACTCATGCTCTGTCTTTCTCAGCCTCTCAAAAATAAAGAAACGTAAAAAAAAATTTTTTTTTTTTAATCAGGGTCACTCAGGTGGTTTCTAATTTGTTTTTGCACTTGTGCCACCTTGTAAAGTACAGAGACTTTCTGCACCACAGTGGAAGTGCTGTCTCTGTCAGGTTGCCATTTCCACCTCTCTAAAAGTCCAGTATCTCTATCAAAGCAACAGTCTCCTGGGGTTCACATTTGTAACCTGGGCTGAATTGAGAAGTTAGTGGTCCTGGGTCTGATTTTGCTTACAGTGTTACAGCTGACCATTTATAGGTTTGGAAAAAAGTGAAATGTACATTGCCTACTTTGAGATGAAATGGGTTGGTAAAACTGACTTTCATACAAAGACTTGTGGAAGGAAGAAAAGCATTGCCATGGGGAATAATTTGTCATTACTATGCTTTGGGGCAGCTGACTTCAATGTAACTAGACTTTAGGGCTCTGCAATGTAGTAGTGTACTTAATTTGGGGAGTATTTAAAATGCATTAAATCTCCTGGAATTCGTTTTTATCTTGCCACTCCACTAAAGTCTCCTTCCTGCCCTCTCCTCCTCCAGTAAAGTCTCCTGATCAAATGATCTGGGGCAAATCACTTTGATCCTGGAGTTCAGTGACTTCATCTGGAAAATAAGCAGGATGAAATACATTCTAAGTTCCCTCCTTGCTCAAAATTCTTTTATTCTGTCCTGTGAATTAAAATTATATTTCACATGATTTGAGCATAAGGTATGCTATTCAGTCTGTGGTTAAGGCGAAGGAACTCTTGGGAGAAGGCAGGCCTAGGGCCAGCATGCGCCAAAAGGACTGATACCTCCTCCCTCTTCCTCCAGAGTAGAAAATTCATATCCAAGGAGTTTACAAACTCAGGCTTGATTTGGAGAACCTTAGTAGCAGGAATATTCAGGTGTTGATTCTGAGTTTTAAGCCTTTTACAGTGGGATCACACCAGCAGTTGGCACTTTAATGGATAGGACCCTGGCAAAACTAATCAGGAGTGCTTGCCGGGAAATTTAGATGAAACATAATTTTCTAGAAAAGAGAAATTGCCAAAATTGACTCAAAAGAAATAGAAGGCCTAAATAAACTAGCAACCATTGAAAAAATTGAATTAGTAACCCCTAATTTCTTTCCAAACAACTGTGTAGGACATTTTGACATAGCCAGATGGGAAATTTGATAATGGTCTAGATAGTAGGTGAAAACAAGGAAACACACTTAATTTTGTTAGCCATCTAATAATGAATAATGAACATAAGGATAATGACATTTTGGTTATGCAAGAAAATGTCCTTTGTTTTTTAGATATAATGAGTGAAACAAATGTGGCTTAATCTTGATAATTGTATCTAGGTGAGAAGTATATGGGGATTTTTGAGCAAGCTATGTTCTCTACTTTTATATTTCTTTGAAATGACTCATAATAAAACCATTATGACCAAACATAGTCTTCCTTTCTGAAAAACACAGGTTCCACATTGGTTCATAGGCACATTTTACCAGACCCTGAAGGATCAATAATCTTTTCTCAATCACAATATTTTAGAAAATGGAAAAAGAGAGCTACCTAACTTATCTTGTTATACCAATACCAAAGACAGGGCAAGAAAGTTATAGACCAATCTCATTATAAACATAGATTTAAAAATCAAATAAAATATTAGGAAATAGAATGTAGCAGCATTTAAACCCCTAAATGTTCCTGACCTAGTTGGCTTTAACTCTGGAAGGCAAAGATGGTTCAAGATCAGAGAATCTATTCATATAATTGATCATATTAACAGAATAAAGAAAAGGCATATGATTATCCCAGTGTATGGTGTACTGGTTATCTATTGCCTCTAAGTTCCTTCAGTATATCCACTATAATACACAGGGATCCCTACCAAAGTAACTTTTATGTTTTTATAATTTAGGGAAAGGAGAAAAAAGGTGAACAAAAGGGAGAAAAGGAATCCAGTGAGAAGATACATATACAATTCTACCTTATTTGCTTATACCATTTTTTAATTAAAGGATATCCTGTATGTTAAATAGGAAATTGTGCAGAAAAGAATTAATAGGCCCAAGACTGCTATCTTTAGAAAAGCCTGCCTAAAAGGCTGCTCTGTGGGTGGAATCAGGGAACTTGAATGGTAATCAATTTCCTATGCTTATTGAAAACTTCAGTTGAATGATTAGAATGCTTTATTATGCCTGAACTATTTGAGCAAATGATCTGCTGAACACCTGTTTTCCTTCTGTGGATCCAGAAACCGGGTATGTACTAGGCAGAGGATATATACGTATGTGACCAGCCCCCAGTAAGAACTTTTGGCACTCAGTCTCTAATGAACTTCCCTGGTAGACATTTCTCACATGTTGTTATGATTCATCCCTGGAGGAATTAAGCTCATCCTGTGTGCTTCCACTGGGAAAGGGACGTTTGAAC